GCCGCCGCCTTGACCTAAGGGACCCCCCCTGCCCACCCCGCCCCGGCCGGGCTTTTATATATCTATATATATTATATATATATATACATCTATGTGTGTACATAGGGAGAGAAGAAAAACGGAAAACGGAAAAAAAATTATACTTATTTTCTATGGAGCGACCAGATTAATTTAAGATGCAAAGGAGATGCATAAATGTCGTTGGATATTTTTAAATGTTTTTTGTTTTCTTTTTTTTTGGATGATTATTTCACGTTAACTTAATGCAAGCTGCATGTGGAGCCAGGCACTGCTGCCTGCCTGGCCCCTTGGTTTTTGCTCTCCGGTCCCCTTGTTCCCCCATTCTGGAGCCAGCAGCCAGGTAAGGGCCAGGCGCAGGAGCCACACGTGCTGGGACTTTGCCCGGCCGTGCTCCTCGCTGCTGCTTTTCCTTTCTTCTTCTTATTTATTTTGCTCCCTGGGTGGTTTCCGGACAGTTTCAGACTCCGATGTGGTGGCACCTTCCCTTGTTACGCAGTAAGTAGTTTTGCTTCCCCCCTATCTCCATAGTTTGGAGCAGTTTTATTCCACCGCTTCCCATCCTTCCCCATCCCTGCTTTCCGTTTCTGATCCATAACCTGTGGCCCCTGGGGACCAAGCCCGGACACTCCTCGAGCTCCCACTGCCCTGGACAGGGCTGCAGAGCCACGTTGCCGGCGCGAACCAAAGGACGACGTCGCCAGAATTGCACCAGCTCCAAAGGTCAGGAACAGGGGAGTTGCTCATGTTATTTTTATTTTTTTATTGCTTTTACTTCCATGCAGCACGGCCCTGTGATGGACTTTGCAAGCCCGGTGGCCACCCCATCCAGCCACGGTTGCCCCTTTTCTTCCTCTTCCTGCCCCACGGGACGAGGGGCCGGACACAGGACATGGGCGAGCGGGGGCTCCCATCCTCTCCACGTTGACACTGCTTTTCTCCTTGTACATAGGCCAGGATGGATGCAGGGGGCAGCAGCCCTGCCCCATCGGGTGTGTGTGGGGTTGGGAGGCTGTTTGGGAGGCTGTTTTTTAATTATTATTATTTTTCCTATGTGGCACAAACCAAACTGTTCAGTACGTTGCATCCTGAGCGCCGTTTCCATGTCCTGTAACACACTCTGCTCCCCGACACGCTCACGGGGTGAACGTTTGTACAACCCCACGGCTCCGTACGTGCAATAAACGCTGCAGGTTGTCACGGTCGGCCCGTGCGCTCCCCGTTACCTCCGTGGGGGCCTCCTGCTTCCGCACTCACCCTTTGGGGCAGATCAGGGGGGTTTGGGGGTGTCCGCGTGTCTCCGAGGTCTCAGCTCTCCATGATGCCCGGTGTCCCGCAGCGTTTGGGGCTGAAACCGCTGCTCGATCCCCACCTTGGGGCTGGGGGGACCCGTCGGGGGGCCC